AATTATCTTGACTATCAGTGAGTTTCTTTATGAACGTTTGATTCAGTCGATAGTAAACATTCACTGTTAAAGTCATCTCTGTTCTTGTCTTTGCAGTGGCTTCAGTTGACCATGTACTCATGAGTTCAGATGATGCCTCCCCTGCTTGTTAAAAGGAACCACTTTGTTTGTTTACACAGTACACAATATTTTCTCAACCTTCGCTACAACTTCCTGTCATTCAGCAAATACCCTCTGTGTGCAGGCTTATTATGAATGTTAATGCAATGCAAGTGTTGTGGGATTGTTCATGGTTCCATTATACTTACAAGACAATTCTAAGTAATAGTAATCACGAAAAGCCCCAACTTGCCCTCACAATGGTGCCCATATCTAAGGATCAAAACATGACTGAAGTGCATTAAGATGATAGTAGGTTGGTGCATTTGGTCCGTTAGTTTGGCATTTGTTTTTAATCTTCCTCAGGCCCGAAAGGAGGCAGGCCAACATCAACATGTTTCATGTTTCCAAATGGGAAAGCAGTAAGGTCCCGGTCTTATGTGGCTGGGGCTGATTTCACAAAGATTGTCGGTCAGAGGAATCTGCAGAGAGACCAATTTTAGTTTTGCTCTGAAACTTTTAATACTAAAATGCTGACATAGGACAATAAGTAAATAAAGACTCAACACCTTCTGACAACTCTCTTATACCTGCAGGCAAAAACAGGAAAACCTACCTCACTCCTGTAAAAAATCTTACACACATTTTCTTTTGGGGTGATTACAGGTTGACGGTGTGAAGTTGTAGCTTGGTTGATCATGTTTCTTCAGTTGAATGGCCACCTGAACAGTTGTGTTCACCTATTTTGCCCAGTTGTATCCTCAGAACTGTGTGGACGTGTATAGATGGCTGGATTGACATCTCCATCTCTTTGCTGTTATTTCTGCTAAACATTAAGCATTCATATCAGCAAATGGACTTTAATGACCTTGCAAATTCTCAGAAACATTCCACCCAACTCTGATCTGAGCAGAGGATTTACTTACCTTTTTTTAAGATGTGTAGGACCTTGAAGAGAGTTTAACTATGAACCCATTTTAGAACGTTATGTTATGCTCATTGGGTAAATGCTCAGGTGAACAGGTTGATGTTGGGTGAAGCTATTCTGAGAATTACTTGAGGTCAACAAGTCACCTTTACTCATAAGAATCATAAGGGTATGACATTTCCCACCCTAACAGGTGCACCAGACTAACAGGGGTATTGGGGAAATGGCTGTCAGTCAGTCTGCACACACTATGCAGCCCCTAGAAGAGGTCTAATTTGGTTAACACAGGCAGAGGTATGGGTGGACCATTGCAGAGACTTTTAGACAGCTTTGTATATCTACAGTTTTACTTTTGAAGGACCACAGTCATATTCAGTTTTTTGTGAAACCAACCTCAGGCCCACTGACCGGAGATTCTTCTTCACTAAAATAAACAAAGAAATAAAACAACGTTACACAGCTCAGCATTTTGTTAAAAGGCTAATAAAAAGTAAGGCAGATGTTTAAATTATGGTTCACTTGCACCACAGCTGATTGCATGCACATGGTTTTTGCATCACAGTTGCACTGTTTACGCTGTGTTCAGGAATCCCAGTGCTTTCTCCTCTGTAACAGTAATTTACATGAACGTCCTAAGAAACAGTTTTATATTTTATATAATCTAATATTTTGCCATTTAACATTCAGTGCTGGTAATGCAACTTTGCCATAACATTCTCTATGTTTCACCTTAATGATCAGTTTACTTATCACTGTGTACTTCTTCAAAATGCCAGCACAATGTGTAAATTGATAATATATGAAATATGTGTATGCCACTAATGCATGCAGTAAATAATAAAGATGCCATCATTAAGTGTTTTTAACCATGTTGTTATGGCCACAGTCATCAATGTGTTACTGAAAATGCTAGGTAAAAAATACCTGTGCCATATTTGGAATAAAAGGATATGTTAATGTGTCAGTTTTATTCTTGATGCACCGCTAACAGTTGTTGCTGGCTACTTTCCGACACAAGTCAGTGAGTAGTGGATTCTCATTTAAACTGAACTGGGATCTGCAATTGGACCGTTCAGATGACTGAAAAAGCCATGATTTTGCAATTGGAATTAATGCTGCTTCAAGTGGTATTTAAAAGATGGTAATGATGCTTCAGAGGTACATATCCACCCATCCAACCAACCTTAAGGGGGAACTCCAGCCATTTTCAAACCTCCTGTTATTCATATGGTCTAAGACAGTCTAAAATCTATTGGTAAACAAACAACTCTCTCCCAAATCCAACAGGTAGAGAGCTAAAACTCAAATTTGTGATGTCATCAAGTAAAAATTGTGGAGCTGCTCTGTAGGCAATGATTGGTGAAAGATGTTCGAGATGACAGCTGGAGCAGCCAGGTATGTGTATGGGTGCACTGTTGCATCGGCTACATTTTTTAGCCTCAAAGGTTGCTCCACGGTCTCCTAGGAATGTGGCGCTGCTGCTCATGTGACACTGTAGCATGATGCTGACCACGAGAGCCCAGTCAACAACTTATTCACCCAGCTGGTGGCCAATGACATGGCTTACTACTGAAGGGACCTCCTGCCTATGACAGATGTGCTCATTCAGAATGTGCACATACTCCATACCTACAACTGGGGTGAGTATGTGAGCTTTTTTGTATGCCAGGCTGCCACAGATGGTATGGTAGGAAATAAACTTTGAGGTGCGGAGGAAGCTAACATCAGGGGTTTGCAATAAGTAAGGAAATGTGTTTTAACTCTAGGAACTGTATACATGCGATTACAGAAATTATATACCTGAAACAGAAAAATATACCTGAAATATTTAGACTATGATACAATAATTGATATATTTAATAGTAGCTATTACTGACACAAATGTCTTTTGGTTTGCTAAGTTTTTAAGAAGTAGCTGATTAAACCTGATGCAAATAATATTAAGCTCTTAACACCTATTCAAAATATTAATATTACAGACATGCCATGTTTTATGTTGACTGTATTGATAATAGTATTGAAAAAAAAAACTACACAAATACCGCAGCCATTAAATTTTACTTTCAGATCCAAAACCAGAACTCTAATCCTACAGTTACTGATCTACTTCCACATCATAACACAAGACAGGAATGCATCACTAGATCAATTTCGCATGCACTTATTCCTGTACCAACTTACAAAAGCAATTATGGTCAAAGATCATTTTTTACCCTAACTTCTAGAACAAAATCCCACACTACATTAGAACAATAACCTCCATTACACATTTAAAACATGCATATAAACACTGTCTGATGGAAGGACATACCTGCAACCACTGATTCAAATCACGTCACATTTTGCTCACTTCACATAAGTCCTCTCCTCTGCAATTGTTGTCTTGCCTCTGTTTATTGTTTGTTTTTATTTTGTATTGTAATGTATTTTGTATTGCAGGACCTAAATTAGCCGTCGCTGAACAACTCCAGTGTGAAGTAATTGGTAATTGACACATTTAGTCAGGATGGCACCAGTTGTTCTCCACTTGCAGCCACACATAGCTGTAGACACCTTCTTTATGATCCTGAGAGACAAGAAATCAACAGAGAGTTGTCTAGGTGGTCAAAAAGAGTGAGACAATTTGAAATAAGGGACATAATGTGTGCAATAAGGACAGACAAACAGTACCTTTATAATATATTGGCTTGTGAGTGAAAAAAAAAGTGTTTAATTGCATGGTCACCATCTAAATTTTTCGTGCCCTGCAGAAGAGACAGATTGAGATCCAGTTAAACAACTTGTCGTTGTCCGTGTATGTGACAGTGAAAAACACAGGACAACTGCAGTGTAGGAAAGTTAAATTTTTCACTTACAATGACAGAGAACTTTTTGGGGTGCTAGTAATGGTGCCAGTTGGGGACAAGCTCTTAGCCATGTAACTCAGTGTCACATGGCTGATGGCGGGATAGGGTGATGAATAAATGCCCACTCCCACCTGCAAAGGGCCAGCAGTGTCCCTGAACCAGGGATGAAGATCCCTGAGGGGGTGGAGCATAAAAAGAGTTTAGATGTAGGAACAGTCTCAACCATAACATCAAACAGCCACACCAGGTAGCCATCTGTGTGTAGTCCCTACTTGAATAACAGTTCTTGGGTTTAACGAAGATTGATAGATATACCAAAGAACTTCAGTTATGTCTCTGATGACAGATGACAGAAACACAGGCCCCTGCACACAAAGATGGTCAGAAAGCAATCTCAAAACTAAAACGTGCAAATTACAATCTGACAGATTAAAATTATTTAGATGTCTCATCTTGCAACTCCACAGCAAAGCTCAGCAAAGTGTCTGCCATTGGATGATGGTGAGAACACCTTTAGACTGTAATTGTGTTTATGGATGCACAGGAAGAATAAAAAGAAGTTTCTGTTTTACAAAAAAAGCCAACCTGCTTTTATGAGTCATGCCGTATTAGTAATGGTCGGTGAGGCAGGTGACTCTGAACATCCAAAAATCCAAGAAGTTGGGGGGATCACCTGATGCTCTGCGCCAACCTGAGCAGACGTAAAAAGTTGGGCTCCCCGCTGGATTGCGGCGAATACTGTATTTTAACAACTTTTTAACCAGTGGAAAGCCGCCTTGAGTGCACATTATGTCCACGATGTCACTAGACAACTTTTTCACGCAAACTGGGCCACACAAGAAGAAAGACGGACGTAGAAAGGGAGGTAAAAGCAATGCTAATGCTACCTCGGATAGCCATAGCGAAGAGTCAAGTGCACATCGAGACAAACTGATTGTGGAGAGTGTCACTGCTAATATAGAGAAGATGCTGGACAGTAAACTAGCTAACATAATAAAGCCGGTCAGCGAAGTGGCTGAAAAACTGGATGGCTTAATCGAGAGGATGGGAACGGTAGAGCAGCGGGTCTCCAACCTGGAAGACGAGCCAGCTACTACTACACCCTGGGTGGGAGCTCTGGAGACCCAGCTAAAGAAAGCACTGGAACGCCTGGAAAAACTTGAAAATCAAGGTCGACGGCAGAACGTGAGGATCGTAGGGCTAAAAGAAGGCACAGAGGGCAAAACACCGGTCGACTTTTTTGTAAAGTGGATACCAGACGTCTTGAATATGCAGAACGACCGCATTCAGATTGAAAGAGCTCACCGCACGAGACCGCGGATGAGACTTGCCGGCAAAGAGGGTCCAAGAGCCGTCCTGGTGAGGCTGCATAACTACACCGACAGACAGAGAATCCTGTACGCGGCGAGGAACAAAGGCACGATAAAAGTCGATGGTGGAAATGTGTCCTTCTATCAAGATTTCTCCACGGAGGTTGTAAGGAGGAGGAAGGAGTCGGCAAACGCCCGCAAATTGCTGAGAGAAGCTGGGATTAGATATTCCTTCGTATATCCGGCTGTCATCAAGATTTTCCACCCTGATGGTTCCAGCTCTGCCTTCTCGACCTTGGAAGAAATTAATGGCTAAGGTTACATCAGCAAATTGCCCCCATCAAAGTAAACCCCTAGCTTGGAGGCTAAATGGACTGTGAATGCTACAGGTATGAATGTAGTGGAAAATACGCAGTTCATAATGCATCTCGAGAATTATCCTGTTAATCTTTAATGTTACAAAAAAGAACACTGGTATCACAATAGCATTCTAGTGAGGGAGGTCTGTATTCTTGTTGGTCAATTGACCCCCACAGCTGTACTTTGTACAAGGTAAAGGTACAACTAGGTAAGTTAGTTTATCATTTAGATTTTTTTTTTTTTAATGTTTGTTTTCTGTGTCAAGTTGTTGATGATTCCAAGTATAGGAGCCAAATATGTTATTGGGAGGTTTGCTTCTGACTGTAATTCACTGTGTGGGCATTGGGGGCGCTGTACTGTCACCTGGTGAGTTCAGGTATTTTAGGATGTGACCTCACTATGATCATCAGGTGTTTGACCTGGAAGGGCAAAAGGTTTTTGACCGCTGTGGCGCTAACTGCCGGCGTTTTCTTTGTTTGATCGGTTGTCAATAAATCTGCATAAATGTTTGTTATAATGCACCAGAAGACCAGCGTCCAGACTCTTCTACTGAGCATCAAGAACGGTGACTTTAGGGTGAGAAACCAGTAAGTTAGTGAGGCGCGTTAACCAGGTTACTCTGGGTCAAGCATCTCAGTAGCTAGTATAAGACTTAGCTCCTATACCAAGCTTTTGGTTATGTTCGTGCTTGGAACACATTCCTAAGTTCAATGATATTAACTGTACACCTGAAGATACAAACTGGTCCATTTTATTTTTAATGGTTAAAGATGCAGCACGCAATTTATAGCACAAGCTTTTGTTGATGTCCATTAAGATAAGTATATCAGGGGATCTAACAACGCGGTAAAGAGGAAATCTGACCTGAACTCTCTTAAAAAAGATAAGATTCAAATAGGTTTCTTACAAGAAACACATCTTAGTGATGAGGAGCACAAAAAATATCATAGGGAATGGGTTGGTCAAATTTTTTTTTCTTCACATTCAACTAATAAGAGGGGAGTAATCACTCTTATTCATAAAAATCTGCCTTTCACAGTAACAACATTCTGTAAAGATACTAAAGAGAGATACATTTTAGTTTAAGGCATGTTACACGGTGAAAATATTTCACTAGGTAATATCTATGCTCCTAATGTCCAAGATGATGCATTCTATGCATCTTTACTCAGTCAACTAGCTGATATGGATTGTCCTAATATGATAATAGCGCGCGACTTTAACTGTGCATCATGCCCAATGTTGGACGGATCTCCCTCTCAGACAGTTATATCCAAAAATGCCAAGGATGTCTTAAATATAAATAAGGAGTTCGACCTTTTGGATATATGGAGACACCTTAACCCACTTTCAAAGCAATATACAGTTAGGTCCATAATTATTTGGACAATGATACAGTTGTCATCATTTTGGCTCTGTACACCACCACAATGGGTTTTAAATGAAACAATGAATACCTGCTTAAAGTGCAGACTCTCAGCTTTCATTTAAGGCTTTTTTCAAAAATGTAGTATGAACCGTGTAGGAATTACAACCATTTCTTCACACAGTCCCCCGACTTTAAGGGCTCATAAGTATTTAGACAAACTAACATAATCATCAATTAAACAGTCAGTTTTAATACTTGGTTGCAAATCCTTTACAGTCAATGACTGCCTCAAGTGTTGGACACATAGGCATCATCAGATGCTGGGTTTCTTCCCTGGTGATGCTCTGCCAGCCCTTTACTGCAGCCGTCTGCACTTCCTGCTTGTGTTTTGGGTGTTTTGCCCTCAGTTTTGGCTTCAGCAAGAAAAACGCATGCTCAATTGGATTCAGGTCAGATGATATGACTTGGCCATTGCAGAACATTCCACTTTTTTGCCTTAAAAATGTCTTTGGTTGCTTTTGCAATATGCTTCAGGTCAATGTCCAACTGCACTGTGAAGCATCGTCCAATGAGTTTTGAAACATTTAGTTGAATCTGAGCAGATAATGTAGCCCCAAACACTTCAGCTTTCATCCTGCTGCTCTTGTAAGCAAGACAAGACTTCACTAGAATAAATACAGAGGGTTTATCACAAGATGCAAACCATTGGTTAGCCTTAAAAATGGAAGGCCAGATTAGAGTTTGTCAAAAACCATGTAAAAAGCCTGTACAGTTGTGGAACAGCATACTATGGACAGATAAAACAAAGATCAACTACCAGAATGATGGGAAGACAAGAGAAGGAAGAAGGGAAGGAACTGCTCATGATCCAAAGCACACCACCTCATCAGTGAAGCATGGTGGAGGTACTGTTATGTCATGGCCATGTATGGCTGCCAGTGGAACTGGTTCTCTTGTATTTATTGATGATGTGACTGCTGACAAGAGCAGCAGGATGAAAGCTGAAGTGTTTGGGGCTACATTATCTGCTCAGATTCAACCAAATGCTTCAAAACTCATTGGACGATGCTTCACAGTGCAGTTGGACAATGACCTGAAGCATACTGCAAAAGCAACCAAAGACATTTTTAAGGCAAAGAAGTGGAATGTTCTGCAATGGCCAAGTCATATCATCTGACCTGAATCCAATTTAGCATGCGTTTCTCTTGCTGAAGCCAAAACTGAGGGCAAAACACCCAAAACACAAGCAGGAAGTGCAGACGGCTGCAGTAAAGGGCTGGCAGAGCATCACCAGGGAAGAAACCCAGCATCTGATGATGCCTATGTGTCCAACACTTGAGGCAGTCATTGACTGTAAAGGATTTGCAACCAAGTATTAAAACTGACTGTTTAATTGATGATTATGTTAGTTTGTCCAAATACTTATGAGCCCTTAAAGTCGGGGGACTGTGTGAAGAAATGGTTGTAATTCCTACACGGTTCATACTACATTTTTGAAAAAAGCCTTAAATGAAAGCTGAGAGTCTGCACTTTAAGCAGGTATTCATTGTTTCATTTAAAACCCATTGTGGTGGTGTACCGAGCCAAAATGATGACAACTGTATCATTGTCCAAATAATTATGGACCTAACTGTACATTTCACTGTCAGCCTCATTCATCAGCATCACACATTGATTATATTTTTGTGCCTAGGAATCTGACTCATTTAGTTGAACAGGTAGATATAGGCCATATTGCACTTTCAGACCGTGCTCCTGTAACCATGTCGATTCAACCTCTTAAACCCACTGAACGTTCATTTTCCTGGAGAATGAATACAACACTGCTTATGGATGAAAAATGTATTAAATACTTGAACGATCCAACAGATTTATTTTTGGAATTCAATGATAAGGATGCAGCTGACCCAAGAATTGTGTGGGATGCTTATAAGGCCTATATGAGGGGCATGGTTATTTCATATACAAGCCAAAAGAAAAAAGAGGGAATAGCAAAGCAACTTGAAATTGAAAGGAAAATAAAAAGGTTAGAAGAAGACTATTATGCAACAAAATCAGAGAGGACCTTGATTGAACTTAAAGCAACCAGAATAGCATTGCATAACCTAATAACGAGGAAGGCAGAAAAGGATATTCTATTTACTAAACAAAAATTCTTTGAATTGGCCAACAAACCAAACTGCCTTTTGGCACGATTGGCAAGGAATGCTCCTGTTAAATCTTTTATCTCAGCTATACAGGATGAGAATGACCAAAGACAAACAAACAATTGTCAGATTAATGAGAGCTTTAAAAAATTCTATGCTGATTTATATAGTTCAGAAATTGACCTAGAGAGGCTCAGAACAGGTCATTTTTTAGACAATTTGATTTTCCCACAAATATCAGAAGATCAAACAAAATTATTGGAATCCCCTATTTCACAATTAGAAGTAGAGAAAGCCATCTCCACACTCCAATCAGGTAAATGTCCAGGAGAGGATGGCTTCCCAGTTGAATTTTTTAAAGTAATGAAAGGGAAAATTTGCAATTTGCTGTTGAGGGTCTTAAATAAGTCATTTGAAGATTCTAAACTTCCAGAATCAATGTACAGAGCCAATATAACATTAATAGTGAAGAAAAACAGAAACCCAGAGCTATGCTCCTCATAGAGGCCAATTAGTCTTCTTGGAGTAGATAATAAAATACTGTCTAAGATACTGGCCCTTAGGCTTGAGCATGTTATGACTTCTATTGTGGATGCGGACCAGACAGGTTTTATTAAGGGTAGAAACTCTTTCTACAACTCAAGATGCCTTTTCAATATTATTCACTACCTTAGCTCTTACCAAATACCGAGTGCTGTTATTTCTATGGATGCCGAAAAGACGTTTGATAGAATTGAATGGGAATACATGTTTGACGTTATGAAAAAATTTGGATTTGGGTCAGATTTTCTGAGGTGGATTAAACTGTTATATAAAGCACCTTCAGCTTCAGTTTTGACAAACGGTCTGTTATCTGCTGCCTTTAATTTAGCAAGAGGCACCGCTCAAGGAAGCCCATTGTCTCCTATCCTATTCGATTTGGCCATAGAACCCTTGGCAATGGCCATCAGACAAAATCCAAATATTCAGGGAGTTGATATTGGCACAAAACAACATAAAAATTTTACTTTACGCTGATGATGTCCTTCTGACACTAACAGACCCAACTAGATCATTACCGGCCCTAATAGAGTGTATCACAGAATTTGGTTTAATATCCGGATATAAAGTAAACTTCGATAAATCAGAAATGATGCCCCTAAATAACAATGATAATAATCAAAATTACTTACCAAATTAACCAGCTCTATGTGGAAAATGTGAATCCCTTAGTAAAGAATCTCAAAGAAACATTGACAAGATGGAAGAAACTTCCCGTCTCATTTCTGGGCAGAATTAACCTTATCAAGATGACAATCCTTCCAAAAATACTATATCCTATATCAATGCTGTTTGTACTTCCTACATCAAATGGCATAAAGGTAATCAATAAAATTATATCAGACTTCATTTGGGCTGGAAGGAAACCCAAAGTGAAATTAGAGACATTACAGTTGCCAAAAGAGTGAGATGGGTGGGGTTTACCAAATGTGAATTACTACGCAATTTCCATACAAGCCAGAATTATTTCTTCATGGGTGAATGAACATTCATACTCTCCTTGGCTTGACCTAGAGGTAACAATGTGTAAACCCTTCTCTCCAGTGAACTTGTTAGACAAATGTGTAACAGGGTAGACTCGTATCGTTTGGTTGCAGTGATTTATTTTATTTATGATTTGAGCACCCAGTGTGTGTGTGAGAGTGCAGTGGTTAGTGGGTGTGGTTTCCATGTTTGGTGAATTGCTGTGGTGATGGGCTGATGGCATGCAGGTGTGATGGGTGTTACCTCCTAATTTGCTGAGTACTTATCAGACACACACACACACACACAGACAGTTTTGTTCATTTCGGCTGTGAATCTCCTCTGCAGTTTGGGTGTGCTGAGAGGGCTGCTGGGTCTACCACACGGCTGGGTCAAGGTGGAGAGCTGCCTGGTCAAGCAGAACTACTAGAAGCATCGTGCAACACCGGACCTGACCAGCCACATAACAGTGACCAGATACAGATACGCCGACCTTGTTGTAAGAATATCGGCTTCGCCATACACAAGGACAGCACACCCAGCCACAGACATTTATTCCCCCTCTCAACTGAACTGGCTTCCAGACCCATTTTATCTATTTTCTCCCCTAACTTGGGCCCCCATTTTAACTTTTTTTTTAATCTATTGAATTGTTAATAAAATTACTTGCAAATTTCAGCTTGTTGTGTTTTGCCCATTTCTTCCACTGGTTGGTTAAGTCGAACTGGGGTGTTTTACAACAAATGCCTAAATGAATGGCCACACATTGCTAGGAATAACCCCTTGATAACCAACGTACTGTGGACATGGAGGAAATTGAGGAAAATATTCAAAGAGACTCATCCGCTCAATATTTTTCCATCCACACAGCGTATTTCCGGGTATGATGGCACCTGTGTTTGGCTCTGCCGCTGCCCGGCTTTCCCGTGGGCTCCTACCTGTTCTTTGTACTGCTCTGTTCGTTCTACTGTTTGTCAACGATGGATTTGACTCTCCTGTTCATCAGGGCATCCATGGTGGATCATGGTGTTTCTACTCCTTGGAGTAGTCACCCGCAATCCTCGGCGCCTCCGTTCCTGTCAGTGGCTGCCGGCGTTCCCCGCAGTGGTTTGCAGCTCCAAGACTCTCGCAAGTATGGAAGAAGGAGAGGGAGAAGGGCCGGAGTCCAGGTGAAGCTAAGATGGTTCTGGAGGCGAGGTGTCGCTGGAAAACGGCGCCGTTCTCTTCTGATGAGCCATGGCTTGATGTTTCCTGTTACTCTGTGGAATGATCTCCCTTTATCGATGACTGCGACTGTCAGACTCTCCGTTCTCCGACCTCTTTCCCGACTTGGCCGGGGAGCTGATCTCGGCCCCTCCGGTGTGTGGAATACATTGACGCGGTGGAGGGAGTCCGCGTCATCTGCGCTCCCTGCCCCGGGTTTCCCCCGCCGACTGCGAGGAGTCTTCACCTCTCCAAATGGCGCTACTTAATGCGCGCTCCATAGCGAACAAATCGTTCGTGCTAAATGACTTTGTCTTGTCTAAAAATTTGGACTTTCTTTTCCTGACGGAAACCTGGCAGAGGAATATGGAACTTGGCCCCCTCATTGAGCTCTGCCCAAAGGGCTACACTTTTATCAGCTCGCTCAGACTCTCAGGCCACGGTGGAAGACTTGCTGCGGTGTGCAGGAGCCGCTTCGTATGTTGCTCAGTGAGCACTGGGTCTTTCTCTTCCTTTGAGCTTCAAATGATTAAAATTGGACATAAAAATCCATTTTGCTGTATTTTAATTTACCGTCCTCCTGGCCCCGCAGTGAATTACAGTCAGAAGCAAACCTCCCAATATCATATTTGGCTCCTATACACCGGCCCCTAATTGTTAATGGCAGCCTGGCCCAAATGGCTCATTTTTGACTGAATTCACTGACTTATTGGCCTCTATTCTTAAGCTATCCAGATTTATTATTGCTGGTGATTTTAATATACATGTTGATGATGTTTCACACAATTTTGCCTCTAGCTTTATTAACATCACATTGTCTTTTAACCTTACTCAGCATGTATTAGGCCCTACACACAATAGAGGGCACACTGGATCTTGTTTTTACTTTGGGTTTGAATATTGATTCTTTATCCCTTGAGGATCTTTTTATTACTGATCACAATTGTGTTTTATTTGATTTGTCTTTTCATCAGTATTCCTTACCCTGCCGACGTGTTATAAGCTCTCGCATCCTTAACCACCATTCTGCTGGAAAGTTCTCTGCTGCCTTCTAGTTCGACTCTGATGTGGACAGTGACGTTGACACCTTGGTACATTCCTTTAATGAACACTGCCTTACTGTACTGGATGAAGTGGCCCCTATTAAAACTAGGTGGGCCCCCCGATCAAGCCCTCTCCTTGGATAAATGACAATATTCGCTCTCTGAAGAGAGACTGTCGAAGGGTCGAGCGCCTATGGAAATCCACTCAACTGCATGTCCACCATCTTTATTTGAAAGAACTTCTAGCGTCTTTTAATAATGCAGTGAAGGATGCCAGAGCTGCTTATTTCTCCAGGCTTGTGTCTAATAATCGGCGTAATCCCAAAGTGATATTTGAGACTATAGCTATACAGCATCACCTGCTGTACCAATTTTCTCTGATGAGGAATGTAACAATTTTCTGTCTTTCTTTGTGGGAAAGATTAATGACATTAGATCAAATATTCTCCCCTCTCTTGCCCCCTCTATCTCTTTCTACTCTCGGTCGTCTATCCTGGAGAGCTTTTCTCCTATAACCCTGCAAGACCTCACTAATTTGGTTAACCGTATGAAAACTTCCTCTTGTTCTCTCGATATCCTACCAACATCTTTGTTTAAAGGTGTCATTGGTTCTGCAGTGCTCTCTATAATTAACAACTCTCCATTATCTGGTTGTGTCCCTGCTCATTTCAAACATGCTGTTATTCAACCACTTCTCAAGAATTCAAATCTAGACTCTTCTCTACCTCAAAATTACAGGCCCATCTCCAAGTTGCCTTTTGTCGCTAAAATCTTAGAGAAAGTGGTTGCAAACCAGCTCACAACTGCATTAGATGAGCACTGTATCTTTGATAAGTTTCAGTCTGGCTTTCGAAGGCTGCACTCTACAGAAACAGCCCTTTTTAGAGTCTCCAACGATATCCTGATGCACAGTGATGCAGGAGAATGTTCAGTGGTGGTGCTGTTGGATCTCAGTGCAGCGTTTGATACAGTGGACCACTGTATACTGATAGAGACTTGGGCAGTGGGTGGGTGTGACTGGGTCAGCCCTGCAGTGGTTCTCCTCCTACCTCTCTGACAGGAGCTTTGCTGTATCTGTTGGTAATTTCACCTCCCCATCTGAAACTCTCAGCTGTGGTGTGCCCCAAGGTTCAGTCCTTGGTCCAGTTCTATTTGCCCTGTACATGCTTCCCCTTGGTCAAATAATTAAACAGTTTAAAGGTATCTCTTATCACTGCTACGCAGATGATATTCAGCTTTATGCCTCCTTTAAACCCCACAACCTTGCTATACTGTCAGCTCTCAATGACTGTGTGAGAGCTATAAAAAACTGGATGGCCAATAACTTTTTGCAGCTTAACTCTGACAAAACCGAAGTCCTTATTTCTGCCCCTCCAAGTCTTGTCCCTAAGATCAAGGATGGTCTAGGTTTTCATACCTCAATGGTTAAATCATCTGTAAAAATTCTTGGTGTCACTTCACATGTTGGTCCAGAGTCAGAGCCTGGTCCACAGGCTCTGACTCTGGACCAACATGTGAAGTTATTGATCCGCTCTTGCTTTTTCCAGCTGAGGAACATCAACAACACTTTCAAAAAGCAGCTAAGACCCATTTGTTTAGACTTGCTTTTGTTTGATTTTTTTTTCTCCCTTTACTGTGTTTTATGTCTATATGTATATTCTTTGCTTTATTGCCTCTGTAAAGCACCTTGTGACTTTTATGCTCTTGAAAGGTGCTATATAAATACAGTTTATTATTATATATTATATTATTTTAAAAACATTGGAAGGAAACCCAGAGCTATCATCACCGGGGCTAGGTCCAAATCTTACATCTTGGCAAAGAGTAGGCATTACTAGAATTCAATTCAATTCAATTTTATTTATAAAGCCCAATATCACAAATCACAATTTGCCTCACAGGGCTTTACAGCATACGACATCCCTCTGTCCTGAATTCATGATCTCTTTGAGAAAGTGAGATTCAAAACGTTTGAGTCACTGAAAACTCAGTACCACATATCCAAGAATGACCATTATAAATATTTACAGGTCAGACATTATGTGTATGAGAAAACCAACTCGCTGGAATACTCTAACGATTCTTGTCCATTAGAGATGTTTTTTCTGAACCACAAAGAGCAAAAACATTTTGTGTCGAAATTTTATTCAGAAATGTTAAATTTGAATGCGGATAAACTGGCATGGCTTAAAACATCATGGTGTATTTTACTGAAATGTGTGATAAGTGACGATATGTGGAATGACATCTTGCGATTGCCCTCCAGAATTTCAATTTGCAACAGATATAAAGAATTACAATATAATGTCCTACATAATGTTTATATATCACCATATAGTATTTATAGTAAATATACAACAGGAGTTTCACCAAATTGTCCCAAATGTAAAAGTCATGCAGGCACTAGGTTGCATTGCCTGTGGGAATGCAATACAATTCAGGTATTCTGGAGGGCAATATGTGCAAACATTAGTATTGCAATAGGACAACAGGTGTCACCAAATCCACTTTTATGTTTGCTTGGAAATTTCCCCAATTTTCTTAAACAACATAAGGAAGTGATTCAATCACTCTTAATGCTGGCAAGGAAAGCAATCATGGTGAAGTGGGTAGGAGATGACCCTCCCTCTGTTCTTATGTGGAAATCTCTGATATCTGAGGTCGTGACTCTTGAAAAATTGGGACATTACCTCAGTGGGAGGATTCATACTTTTCAGCAGAAATGGAAGAGACCATTGGAACATCTTGGAGTTAAATACTATTTGGAACTGAACTAACTGGACATACGCTTGAAATGGGACATTAAGGGAATCTGACCCATGTATGTGTTTCACTAGACTGACTTTCACATTGTTAAAGTGCTGTGCTTCTCTCTTTTCACTTATTGACCAGTCTTGTAAACCTGTGAAAATTGTAATTTTGTAATTTGATTTTTTTTAACGCTTTTGGAAAATTGAATAAAAGTTTATTAAAANTAAAAGTTTGTTACTACATATATATATATATATATTATATATATAGTCTGCAGAAGGAGAGATCCATTACCAAAACACAGGGGGAGCATGAAGAAAAGAAACACCAAAAGCTTCAGTTTGGATGTGATGGGAGCCCTGCTGTTGGTGTTCCTACTCCTGTAGCTGAAGCTGCTACTCTTGCTGTCACTGTTGCTGTCTGTGTTTTTGCCAATGTAACTGATTGTGTCTCTACTCAAGCGACAAGGGATCTTGCGGCCTCTGAAAATCCAAGATGTAATGAGAAATGCACCAGAAAGGAGGGAGAGGTTTGAAAATGAAAAACATATGACTGCATTAAACACATACATACGCAGTGTGCAAACAGTGTGACTGAGACACAAACATAAACTCCAGCTTACCTCTGCATGTTCTCCCTTTATGTAGTGACGGGTCCTCCCTCACTGTCATAGTATCCAGT